CTTTCTGAGGTTACCAATGACTCTACTTTTATATACATAACAACATATCAATTTTTCATAACTCACACACTTTCTTTGAAATGAAAGGCAATACATCTTGTTCCAAGTCCGTCTGAAGAATGCATGTACACGGCCGTGTCAGAAAAGTTGTAAGGTCCCAGCGACAGTTCTAAAGCGTATTGATACAGGCTATACACACCCGTGAACTCGTATCCATTTCATGAATGACTTACAGTACAGAGTGTGCCAGGGTCGTGTGAAGGTTATACTCGTACCATATAACGTTTTAATGTTCACATAATGAGTTTATAGCACACAATCATAATTGATTCATGTCATGTAATAATATACAATAACAACTGGATGAAGAAATAACCCTCTTATTTGTTGGAAATTCTAGACATTGTGGCGTACATTTTCGGTGATAATTCGTAAGAGGTGTAAATAACGTATATCATTATTGCTGGTAAGCAGTTTATTATCTTACCTTCATGTAAAATACTTTAATTTCATTGGCCAATGAAGCTTTAACAAGTTTCCGTGTCACCCTCCCAGGAGGGTGACAACTGGAAAAAACATTACTCGCCGCCACGGTAACCGCCAAACTCTCCGCCGAGAAGCTGTATCGCTAACAATCGTATGACGTCATAATATGACGCATGCAGTGTCCGGAGTTCTAAAACCGTTCAATTAGCTGTTTTTGAGTTCACTATGTACAGATTTATTTTACCGACTTTCACTGCTTTATTTAAACTATTTGATACATTGAATCGTTTGCACACTCAACTTAAGCATAATTATCCATTTTTATAGCAGTGTTGACCTTGTCAGAATATGTTTCACTGCTTTAAAAAATCCAGTCGAGGGGCAGACGCCATTTTGTTTACATGTCATATAGTCGGTAGCTATCTTTAAAATAAAACAAAATGATAAATTGTTCATTTAACATGGCGGTAAGATAAATACGTTGTATGCTTCTCCCTCGGGTAATACGGTCTGATGTACGCCTCTTTGTAGCAGTGTCATCCCTCGCCTACCGACTCAGGTAACATTGCTACAAAGAGGCGTACATCAGACCGCATTACCCTCGAGCGAAGCATACAACTTATATAAACTTTGGAGTATTTGTACTTATTTTTTAAATAATTCTCTTTGCATTATCAGTGGAAATTGTTGATTTTTAGAATGCTACAAGAAGAATTTAAAAATTACCATCACCGCTACATACATAGTCAAGGTAATCTGAAAAGCTATCATGCAAGTCTATTTCTCATAACTTGATTTATTATTTGATCTGCTCGTCTTTCCATGCCGGAATTTCACGGGGGATGTCATAGACCCTCATGATGAATCACGGAGTAAATAGCTGTATTTTGATTACAGCTAACATGTTTGAGAAATGATAGTATATAAGGAGCATTTCATCCACACTACTAACTATTTATCGACGTTGATGAATAATGATAATCATCAGCGTTTTGTAAATAACATATATTAGGGATATGAAATGTACCCCAAAAAAGAAACGCATAGGTGATTTTGAGAATATTGGACGCATGTAGCTGTGACAAAAACAATACAAATATATACTCTCCCCAAAAAAGAAACGCATCATGAAAATAGCAATTTCATGTAGCAATGAATTAAAACGTGATTCATTTTAGAAAAGGTTTTGCTCTGTTTATGAGTCCTATGGTGTTTATGTTTTGAAACATCACAACAAAACGCACCATCCGTAAAATACCCGTATTTAACAGCATGATTTTCACTTTCGGCGTGTAGTGTCACAGTATACACAATTCACATGTAATGCACGTGGAAGTTGGGGATCAGATAGTCTCAATGATGGGAATGAAAGGTTGATCGCTGTCTGTCGATTATTCACTGTATTTGGAATATTGTTGACGAACGCAAAATGCCACGTCTAAGTGAAGCCAACCGTCATATCGCCATTGGTTTGCTTGAAGCTGGCCAGTCTCAACGTGCAGTTGCCCGACGCATGAATGTTCACCAAAGCACCATTTCACGGCTCTGGGAGAGATATCGCCGGTAGAATTCGGTAGCAGATGCCCCTCGTAGTGGGCGACCTCGAGCGACCACTGCGGCGCAGGGTCGCTACATCCGGGTACATCACCTGCGTCATCGAACAGCTACGGCGACCAGTACCGCTCGACAAATACCGGGATTGGGGAGCCTTTCTGCACAGACTGTCAGGAACAGGTTGAGAGAGGCTGGTTTACGTGCCAGAAGACCTTATTTTGGCCCTGTGCTTCGACAACAACATCGTCGACATCGAGTTCAATGGTGCACCAACGTTCAGGCCTGGAACCTACCGAATTGGCGTAGAATCTGGTTCAGTGATGAATCACGATTTCTATTGGAACGACGCGATGAATGAATGCGGGTGTACAGACGTCGACGTGAACGTTTCGCCGACGCTTGCGTTCCCCAGTTGGACAGATTCGGCCGGGGCGGTGTTATGATGTGGTAAGCGATCACCTGCCGTAGGAGAAGTGATTTGGTGATGATCCAGGGCAACCTGACAGCTCAACGGTACTGTGACGAAATCCTACGCCCACACCTCCTTCCAATCATTGATCGTCAGAGGGAGTTGTTTCAACAGGACAATGCCAGGCCCCACACAGCACGTCACACTAGAGACTTCCTCCAGAACCACAACATCAATGGGCTCCCCTGGCCCTCAAGATCACCGGACTTAAACCCGATCGAACATCTGTGGGATGCCCTGGACAGACGGGTGCGACGCCGTAACCCTCAGCCCCAGACACTTCAGCAACTCGCACAGGCACTACAGGCAGAGTTGGCTGCGATTGGGCAACACGAGATTCTGAGACTTATTCGTTCGATGCCGAGACGATGCCGTGCAGTTCTGGATGCCCACGGTGGTCACACGAGGTATTGACTTCAGCGCCACCACACGTCTCCATGTGACACTCAAACTAACTTTCCTCGAGTTGGTGCCAAAGACGGATAAGTCTGCATTACCAGTGTGCAATTTCGCTATATTTCATTGACTCATAAAGCCTACAAGATGTTTCAAAATAAACATAAAAATACAGTTGAAATTCCTATATGAGTTTCTTTTGGGGAGAGTATACTATTACTTTCCAAAACATTATCTTTGTGTGATTGTAAACAGCTTCAGCGCCAAAAGCGGCAATTGTAACTTTTCCCTTGTTTTAGAAGCGTTGGAAGAAATATTCGCCAATACGTCACCCAGAAACACACATGCAAAGCAAACCGCACGTGCAAGTAAGCGGAAAAGCATGCGATATCTATCACTATAAAAAGGCAAACGTTTTGTTTAATTTTGTCATTCGTTTTTGCCTGGAAAAAGGGAAATCATCATGCCACGACTGAGTGCCGCCAATCAAAACATCGCCAAAGGCCGCCTTGAAGCCGGGGAGTCGCAGTCTGCAGTTGCCCGACATTTCAACGTTCATCAGAGCACCATTTCTCGCCTTTGGGATCGTTTCTTGCTGACCTTTTCCGCCAAAAATCGCCCGAAATACGTCCGTCCAAGAGTTACCACCCAAGCCCAGGACCGCTACATCCGGGTTGCGCACTTGCGTCATCGCCTTGCCACAGCCGTGGAGACTGCACAACTGCTTGAAAAGATTTTCCAACCAAACTGTGAAGTTGGGATTCGACCAAGAAGGCCAGTTGTTGCCCCTGGTTTGAGAGACTTCCATCGGGGCAATCGCTTACCGTGGTGCCGTACAGTCCGGAGCAGGAACCTTAGAAACTGGAGGCGAGTCTGGTTCAGTAATGAATCACCATTTCTTCTTCGCCTGCGAGATGGAAGACAGCGTTTTTACCGTCGGATAAATGAACGTTTTGCCCCTAATTGCATTCGACAGGTCGACAGATTCGGTGGAGACAGTGTCATGGTGTGGGGTGTGATATCCAGCACACAATGGTCTGATTCAGTGGTGGTTCAGGGTAATATGACAGCAAATCAGTACATCAACGAAGTCATTGCACGTCACATGCTTCCGATTATGGACCGAAAGAATGAAAACGCTACTTCACATACTGCATGCGTCACGGTCCGCTACCTTGCCAATTCTAACGTCAGTGTCTTGCCATGGCCTTCCCGATCACCATATCTAAACCCGATAGAACACCTATGGGATGAACTCGATCGACGTGTACGTCAACGTCAAAACCTGCCTCAGACACTTCCATAACTGGCCATCGCATTGCAGAAAAAGTGAGGAAGAATTCCGCAAGAGCGACTTCGTCGACTTATAAATCCAGTCTGTGCCGAGACGGTGCCGAGCAGTAATTGCGCCACTGGTGGCGAGACTATGACGCTATCTTGCGGATTCAAGTAAACAGAAACACAGCCATAAAGGCTACGGTTGTGTTGGCGAACACTTTGTATATAGACGTGTGAATGTTCACCTTTTTCACTATTGAAATTACATGAAATAATTACCCTTAAATTAACGCATTAAATTCTCTTAAACATCTTTTATGCGTTCCTTTTTTTTAAGAGTGTCTATCGTAAACGACGAACTGAGGAATATGTAACGAACTAGTTTTGTCTCGGTTACTTGCTCTAAAGCTTAGTCGAAATGCGTATAACGAACTGCAGTTATAAGGAACTAATATGATTGGTCCCTGTGAGTTCGTTAAAGCCGTAGTGTCTCTATTAATATTATATGATATTTAATACTGGGACTCATACTTCTAAAGCTGTGTGGTTTCCGAAACCTTCAATAACTGACATAAACACTGGGAAATAGTAAAACACAGATCACTCTTTATTTTTCATTTTCCTTAATTTCCATTAATCTTTGGCAAAATCTACATCATTTTGATCAATGTCTAAGATACCACTGGTACCCACCTAACGTCAGTTTAAAAACACTGTGTGCCCCGACAGAGGATCAAGTTCTATGTCAGAACATTTGCAAAGAAACAGATGAAGCAGGTTAAAGTGCAGTCAGGTGTAACTGTTTGTAAACGAACAACAGGAGTAGATTTTCTAAATGTCTACACTGGTGCTTTTTTGTTTGCAGATGTATAGTTTGTACCTTCTATACATTTAAGTGAATAGATTAATATAAGCTCGTCTAGCTTTACATCTTAAATGCGTTCTTTAACTAAATAGCTTGTAAGGCATGATACATGTCGTTATGGAAACTGTACGTGAAAGGCATTCTAGTACTCATCATCCTCTTCTTCCTGTGGTTGCTGTTGGGAATCATTTGCGATTTCTTCGTAGTCCTTCTCCAGGGCAGCTAAATCAGTGCGGGCATCAGACAATTCAGACTCCTCGAGACCTTCTCCCACATACCAGTGGATGAAAGCACGCTTAGCAAACATGAGGTCAAACTTGTGATCAAGACGAGACCAGGCCTCGGAGATGGCAGTGGTATTGCTCAACATGCACGCAGCTTTCTCAACCTTAGCCAGATCGCCACCGGGAACAGCAGTTGGTGGTCGATAGTTAATACCGACCTTGAAACCAGTGGGACACCAGTCCACAAACTGAATAGTTCTCCTGGTCTTTATGAAAGAGATTGCATCATTGACGTCCTTTGGGACGACATCACCACGGTACAGGACACAGCAACTCATATACAAGCCCTTAGTGGGATCACACTTCACCATCTGGTTGGCAGGCTCAAATGCGGCGTTGGTGATTTCCCCAATTGTTAGCTGTTCGTGGTGAACCTTCTCTGCAGACACCACAGGGGCGTATGTAGCCAGAGGGAAGTGGATACGTGGGTAGGGCACCAAGTTGGTCTGGAACTCTGTCAGATCCACGTTCAGGGCACCTTCAAAGCGTAATGAAGCTGTGATAGAGCTGATTACCTGACCTATCAGACGGTTCAAGTTGGTGTAGGAGGGACGATCGATGTCGAGGTTTCGACGACAGATGTCATAGATGGCCTCGTTGTCGACCATGAAGGCGCAGTCCGAATGCTCCAGGGTGGTATGAGTGGTGAGGATGGAGTTGTAAGGTTCCACCATTGCACTGGATATATTTGGAGCCGGGTACACAGAGAACTGCAGCTTGGACTTCTTACTATAAGTGTTACTAAGCCGCTCCATCAGCAGAGCCGTGAAGCCAGAACCAGTGCCACCACCGAAGCTGTGGAAGATGAGGAAGCCCTGAAGACCATTGCAGTGTTCCGCGAGATTCCGGATGCGGTCCAGGACAGGGTCGATTATTTCTTTTCCTGTCGTGTTATATCCACGCGCATAGTTGTTAGCGGCATCTTCTTTGCCGGATATCAGGTTCTCTGGATGAAACAGTTCACCATAGGTGCCTGTCCGGACCTCATCTGTCAAGAACAATTTATCACAATTCAATTTGTTAAAAAGCTATTGAATTACCATTCTTATATGCTATTTCGCGAACTACTACCTTCAGTAATAAAGCAAACGATTTTAGAAGTAAAAACTTCTCGTTCAGTTGTTACCCATAATGTTCCATGTTTTATTATTGACTCACCATCTTCTAGAATGCCGGTCGGTCAATGGACAGTACTATTTGACCAGCAAAATATGTCGTAAATTAAGTTTTTTCATCGCTATTTTGTGTTGTGACCTAACTCAGACTGAGGCGCTAAGAAAGCCAAGTCTGTTCTCTACCGCACTCACAGGTGCACAGTGTATATTGTATGTTGGTATAAACATTAGCTGTGGAGTTGAGGTACGCATAAAGACATGTTAATGAAAGTAAGTGAAAGTTTTTGTTTCAGAAATGGATCAGGCACACAACTCTTCAAAACGTATGTACAAGAACACAATGGATAAAGTGATATGATAACTGAACAACTTTTACGACATCAAACGTTCGAACAAGAGTAAAATTTGCAATGCCAAAAGAGTTCAAATCCTTAACAATATCCTCTGAGATACCAAATTTCAGAGCGGTTAAATAGGGCAAATATAGTGCTGGGTAACCCGGTATTTCTGATTAATAACTGATATCGACATTTTCCTCAACAATATTGTATGTTTTCTTTTAGTTTAATAATCAGCATAATTTTAATTTAAACATTTTCTCTCACCAACGACAGTTGGTTCAAGATCAGCAAGGACAGCCCTTGGAACGAGTTTCCCTTCGTCTGATTCCATGAAGAAGGTATTGTAAGAATCATCCTCTTCACCAGCGGTCGTGTCAGAAGGCATCTCACCATTAGCCTTGATGCCATGCTCCAAACAGTACAACTCCCAGCAGGCATTGCCCATCTGGACTCCGGCTTGACCAACATGGATAGAAATGCATTCCCTCTGGAAAGACCATTCACTTATTTCATATTGTTGTTCCAAAGTACGTCATATTTTCCTCCATCTTATATAAATAATTGTGACTTTATACAATAGGAATAAACAACATATTTTGTGGATTTTACTTAATAAAGTAAATACTAAACGTCTGTCTCAGTTAGTGTTTGATGCACAGAGACATTCATTTCCAGGTTGTACGCTAATAAGCTTGAGCGATTAAGTGTTGAGCGTTAAGACTACATATGTGTTCCGTCCCATGTCTATAATCCGTATATACGCCCGTCGTGATTGCTAAGTTTACTTGATACAGCTTTCTGTACTTATCGTTAAGACTCCAACTCCGGAGAGAAAAGTAAACATGCTCTCCGAGAAACCTGTCAGATAACTTTAGTCATACATTTGGTACAACACTAAATATTCCCATTTGAACGAACCAACAAATATATTCATGCATAAAGTTGCATCAATAAAATATGTCTTACCATGGTGCATTGGATAAAGCTGACTGTTTAATCCGAACGACGATAACGAGACAAAGCATGTAAGGATTTCACAAGCAACAGTACCGAATGTGTTCTGCTGACGGATTCATGTTCAGGACACATTGCACGTTGAAGTAAAAAGCGTATTATACATTAGTTATACCAGACGGTTCGAGGGACCCTTTACGTTTTTGCTTAAACACATGCAATGACATGAACTACGGTCTTCATTGAAGCGAGACATTGTTACAACTCTTGAATATGTCCAATTGAAACTTTATAGAATACAATAATACCTCGCATGTCTCCGCATGTCGCATTTGTGTCATAGTAAATGGTCTTTAAGGCAGGTATTGTGGGTACACTCAAAGCCACCCGCCTATCTTAGTCAGCAGTAACATCTTTTGAGATAGTGTCCCTGGAAATACTGGTTGCGTGCATTGTCCGACTGTCAGGTACTGGCTGTATATTTGTACACGTTCTTTGTGAATAAGATCGATTATGTTTACAATGTCTCCTCTCTGCAAAAGCTTACGAGAAACGTTTCCGTATTACCAAGTAATCATTATAATGATCCATCTTTACTTAAAATTATCCTGCCTTGCATATCATCAAACCCTCATGTTATTCATAGGTCTGCTAGATTTAAGTTCCGTACCATCAACAGACGAAGTAAAGAGGTTGTTCATCTATAGATCTTATCATTCATTAGTACATAACGTCAAAGAAATGAAATGTCTCTTGTCAAATAAAACATGTTTGTACATGCTCCAGAACCAAACATGAACTATCATAGTGAGTTTAATTCATCTTTAATGAGCCGGTGACCACATCCGATATAAAAAAGTCATGAATAAATACAGTAATCCATATCCCAATAGCAACAGCAATGTCAATTCTTTGTGATATCCACCTTTCCTCAAAATACGCAAGCAGCCTGTGTTATAATTAAATTACAATATGTTGATGTGAAAACATGAAACACTGACAATGTGTTATGTTAGAAGAACCTACGACCCCTCAAGTATCACAGCCTATCAAGCTAACAAAACTATGGGTCTTGTGTAGTGCTCCCTAGTAGCGTTTGATGCAGGACCTTCAAAGACCTAGAGTGGACAAGGCTATTCAAACATTTCTTTCTCGTATCGTGAGGTTTTTTTCTGACACGAAAAGGACTGAAGCATTTTGTTCCCAACAATCCAAAAGTGGCGCCTGCAAAGTTACATGAATGCGTACAATATAGTGTAGTGGTACATAGGCCATGCTGTTCCTCCATGTGCCTGGGAACGGCGTCATATTTTAGGATAGGTGTCATATTTCATTACCAACTATAACGCCTTAGGTCCATACTATTGCTTTAACACAATGTTTGTGCTCAGACTGGGATACGGTCGTCTTCAACTTGATGAACGACTGGGCCAAATGCATCCTTCAAACGTGTGGAACTTGGTGATATATGTGGTGTTCACATTGTGATATATGTGGTGTTCACATTGTGATATATGTTGTGTTAACATTGTGATATATGTGGTGTTAACATTGTGATATATGTGGTGTTCACATTGTGATATATGTGGTGTTATATGAAGTGTTAACATTGTGATATATGTGGTGTTCACATTGTGATATATGAAGTGTTAACATTGTGATATATGTGGTGTTCACATTGCGATATATGTGGTGTTAACATTGTGATATATGTGGTGTTAACATTGTGATATATGTGGTGTTAACATTGTGATATATGTGGTGTTAACATTGTGATATATGTGGTGTTAACATTGTGATATATGTGGTGTTAACATTGTGATATATGTGGTGTTCACATTGTGATATATGTGGTGTTCACATTGTGATATATGTGGTGTTAACATTGTGATATATGTGGTGTTAACATTGTGATATATGTGGTGTTCACATTGCGATATATGTAGTGTTCACATTGTGATGTATGTAGTGTTCACATTGTGATATATGTAGTGTTCACATTGTGGTGTATGTAGTGTTCACATTGTGATATATGAAGTGTTCACATTGTGATATATGTAGTGTTCACAATTGTGATATATGTAGTGTTCACATTGTGATATATGTAGTGTTCACATTGTGATATATGTGGTGTTAACATTGTGATATATGTGGTGTTAACATTGTGATGTATGTAGTGTTCACATTGTTAACATGTTGTGATATATGTGGTGTTCACATTGTGATATGTGGTATATGTGGTGTTTCACATTGTGATATATGTGGTGTTAACATTGTGATATATGTGGTGTTCACATTGTGATATATGTAGTGTTCACATATGTGATCACATTGTATGTAGTGTTCACATTGCGATATATGTAGTGTTCAAATAGTGATATATGAAGTGTTCACATTGTGATATATGAAGTGTTCAAATAGTGATATATGAAGTGTTCATATTGTGATATATGTGGTGTTCACATTGTGATGCATGTAGTGTTCACATTGCGATATATGTAGTGTTCACATTGTAGTGTATGTAGTGTTCACATTGTGGTGTATGTAGTGTTCACATTGTGGTGTATGTAGTGTTCACATTGTGATGCATGTAGTGTTCACATTGTGGCGTATGTAGTGTTCACATTGTGGTGTATGTAGTGTTCACATTGCGATATATGTGGTGTTCACATTGTGATGAATGTAGTGTTCACATTGTGGTGTATGTAGTGTTCACATTGTGGTGTATGTAGTGTTCACATTGTGATATATGTGGTGTTCACTTTTTGATGTATGTGGTGTTCACATTGTGGCGTATCTAGTGTTCACATTGTGGTGTATGTAGTGTTCACATTGTGGTGTGTGTTCACATTGTGATGTATGTGGTGTTCACATTGTGGTGTATGTAGTGTTCACATTTGTGTATGTAGTGTTCACATTGTGATATATGTGGTGTTCACATTGTGATGTATGTGGTGTTCACATTTGTGTATGTTATGTGTGTATGTAGTGTTCACATAGTGGTGTAGTGTTCACATGTGTTCACGTAGTTCACATTGTAGTGTGTATGTGTAGTGTTCACATTGTGGTGTATGTAGTGTTCACATTGTGGTGTATGTAGTGTTCACATTGTGGTGTATGTAGTGTTCACATTGTATGTATGTATGTGTGTTCACATTGTGTGTTCACATTGTATGTGGTGTTCACATTGTGGTGTATGTGGTGTTCACATTGTGATGTATGTGGTGTTCACATTGTGATATATGTGGTGTTCACATTGTGATGTATGTGGTGTTCACATTGTGGTGTATGTAGTGTTCACATTGTGGTGTATGTAGTGTTCACATTGTGGTGCATGTAGTGTTCACATTGTGGTGTATGTAGTGTTCACATTGTGATATATGTGGTGTTCACTTGGTGTTATATGTAGTGTTCACACTGTGATATATCTGGTGTTCACATGTTCATATATGTAGTTTTCACGTGTTGATACATGTAGTGCCCAAATAGAGGCATATATGTAGTGATACTACATTGCATTCAAAACAGATGTCAAACACAAGGGGCGGTAGGGTAGCCTAGTGGTAAAAGCGTTGGCTCGTCACGCCGAAGACCCGGGTTCGAATCCCCACATGGGTACAATGTGTGAAGCCCATTTCTGGTGTCCCCCGCCGTGATGTTATTGGAATATTGCTAAAAGCGGCGTAAAACCAAAACTCAGTCAGTCAGTCAGTCAGTCAGTCAAACACAAACTTTGTATAAATTCCCATATTTCTACCCATTAGTGTATTGTCACTCCTTTGGGGTGGCCCTCTGATTTTAGGTTCTGTAACTAAGCGCGCCCCTCTACCCCATCCAAGCTGAAGGAAGTTGTCATACAGGGTGTTCCCATAGAACGTTTCTGAATACAGAACCACAAACAACCGAAATCAAAATACAGAAATATACTTTAGCCGCTGAGTGCATAGAATTACACACCTTCCGGTTCCTCTGCAGACATCCAGTATGCCAGACAATCAGGAAAATTAATCACGGTCCACATGGAGTTTGAGAATAATAGTTACATCGACACAGTCGCCAATTGCGGAGTGGTCGGGTCTAGGTTTACGCCGCTTTTAGCAATATTCCAGCAATGTCACGGCGGAGGACACCAGAAAGGGACTTCCCACATTGTACCCATGTAGGGAGGGAATCGAACAGGTTCTTCGGCGTGACGGGCCAACGCTTTAACCACTAGGCCACCCCACCGCCCCTACTTTAATTGGGTACCATGCCGTGACCACCCAGTGTTGACTTTAGTACTACCGTGGACGTCAATGACCCTTCAACCATCACTAGGATCCACAAGTCATGGGTATATTTGGGAACTGGCAATTGTTTGCAGTTATGGGGCTTAATACGTCAAAGCCCGGCGTGCAAAGTTAGCACATTGGCTTTCATGTTCCCGCCTCCACAAGTTCAAGATATAATTGAAATCAATTCTTATATAAAAATAAGCCAACACAACGTCACAGCTTGTGTATTTTATTAGAAATATAGAAAATGTCAACAAAAAACTACATTAATACAAAAACCTGCCCAATCTGTTGTTAGCCAGTCAGGAAACACTAGTCCGTTAGCAGGCGTGGCTTAATTTATATTTACAGTCGTGGATAAGCAAAAAACATCACTTTATTAGCCAATCAAATGACATAGAGTCACGTGGATTTTTTGTTGTTATTTGGTTTTGTCTGCGCCTATGAGTGTTTTCCGCCCCCTTTAGTTTCCACACAGTGAGGTGATAAAGGTGGTGTCGCAACTTTTGCTCACCCTTCAGGTATGTTGACGTTGTTATAACATGTCTTAGTAAACGAAAAAAAGGAGCTCTTAACATATGAAAGGTTATAAAAATGTAATAACAATATCGCGTAGAATTCGAGTACAGAACTGAGTAAAGAGTGTGATTATTGTAAAAGGCAGAACATAAAGTCTATATAACGATGTGGAGCTAGATTATGTCGGAAAAAAGATAATAAGCCATTTGTGTCATCTCTTTTGAAAGTGGTCCACATGCCATTTATACTTCTCATTCGCCTTGTACGGATCGACCAAACCCAATATACGAAGTGGTGGGGCGGAGGGTAGGGGTGGGGTGGGAGAGAGAGCTATTGAATTGTGTGTGGTGGTCCAGATATTATTTCAGCTATAACTGTAAAACCAGCATTCCCAACTATTAGTAGATGGATGATCCGATGATGATTTGGCTACACATTCCTAGTAGATCACGTCATTTGTGACTTGTGCGAGATGTTTATTAGGTTCCTGGTGTAAGGTTTCTAAAACGAAATAGAACCACACACAACAAACCCAATTCTTTGACTCT